GTCAGGTAAGTTATACCGTGTATATATCTGACCAGTTACCAACCCCAAGTCAGGTAAGTTATACCGTGTATATATCTGACCAGTTACCAACCCCAAGTCTGGTAAGTTATACCGTGTATATATCTGACCAGTTATCTACCCCAAGTCTTGTAAGTTATACTGCTGCCGGTTAAGATCTGATCTCGTAAGTAGCATGAATCATGTAACATGAAGATTGCGACCGTTGGTCATATCATAGTACAAATGTGTCATACCAGCTGTCAAAAGTGTCTTTAGAAACTTAAAGTTAGGTAGCATTTCTATTTAAAGGCAATTATTTATTTCAATTAAAATCTAACAGTCCTTGCCATTTGGTGTAGGAGAAGGTCGCTGGAAAAGGCAACACGTGTACCAGGTCACTTATGTCCGTGAATATTTCGTCTTGCAGTTGGGCGATTCTAAGGTGTGTCCTTCTGTGAACCCAAAAGCCGGACAAAGGGCGATCCTGATAAAGAACAATGACGGAGATTGGGGAGTTCTGATTGGTCAATGGACAGGGTACCGGCGAGGAATTCCGGGAATCACAGGTAAACATCATCTTAATCCAAACAAGTTACAAGTTTGAGAAGATAGACAGAACCCTAACCCTACAGGTATCTTGGGTACAAAGTTGTTGAGCATAAAATCACCGACTGCATGTTTTTCTTGGATAACAGGTTTGGACCCTGTATTTTGTTCAAANGGGGGGTGGGGGCGGCGGCGGCGGCGGATATACGCCGCAATTGGCCAGTTCTAAATCGTGATGAGTTAACGTAAAAAATGACGTCGCCGTTTGTAACGTTGCTTTTGATTGGCTGATACAGCGGCGTAACAATTTCTGAGAGAAAAGAGTCCAATAAAAGTGGATTTCCACAGGGATTGATGAAGGTGACATTGTACATACCGTACTAGTCATCGAAACGTCACATAGAAACTATTATTGGTTGTGTAAAAAGAACTATTTATAATCATACTTACAAACCTGAAAAATGTTAAGAAATGACCTTATTTGTAGTTCACTTAAAATTACAGTAATCCAATTGAATATTTATGTATGGAAAAATGATAAGCAATGTTTTGCAGGAAACAATATGCATATAAAGAACAATTGTAGATATGTCATAAAAGTAAGTACAAATATATGTTATCTGACGTCACAGATAACATTCGTTTGTTCTCACAGACAAGGTTACAACCTATTGATCTAATATCAATTACGATTGGTCAAATATATTGATACAAAATGTTTAACGGGAACTACGATTGGTTCAATTTATTGATCTAACTGGAGCTTCAATAAGTCGTAAAATAGGGAGGTTAATAGCACAAAGCATTTTTTTATCACTTCAATCAAAATCGGTGAGTAGATAACTGAGGTTTTTGTGGATCCACACCGAAGACATCTCTCGCCCAAGTTATGGGGAGGTCTCCGATTGATGCCCTCATCTTTGTACTGGCCCATAGCAAACTTTAATAGAGTTTATAATGCTAATGGTTTTATCTAAGGTTGTTTGCAATTCATGGTGATCAAATAGATCAGCCCTGGAATGACGGCGAGGAGTCCCCAGGCGCCGCCATTATTACTTCACGTCCTCGAAACGTGATAAAATGTTTGAATATTCAAGATGGCATTAATCACAAGCACGTGTGTGATCTGGTTCATAAAATATGTACAAAGTCTAGATTGTTGGTTAAATGAAATTTTGTTTTTGTCGGGTTTGCAATAAGGTGATATTGTAAAGCTATTTCTACGACATACACAATGAGAATTAAGCTACACAGACATCTAAATCTTAAAGACATGCAATTACCTGCTACTTAAGTAACGCCAAGGCCGTTATGGTCGAGGGTGATAAAACTGAAAAGTTATTACAGCAATGTTACTACAATTCTTACATTGGTAAATATTGGTAACCTATACTGTTACAAACTTGAATATGATTGAAGTAATACATTGGTTAGATATATTTTAGTGCTGCCTTCGTCATCACCGTTCTGTATATCATCATACAAAAGGAACAACTCACGCTCGCCAAAAAATAAAAATCTTGAAAATTAACAAAGGAAAACATTATATGAAATCGATATTGCTAGTCCCATCTATATTGGGGAGGATCTCTGACTTTGGATTGACATTTTATCTCACATTTCGTTTCTTGCAGGGCGGAAAAACAAAAAGGGTCAGAAAGGAGTACAAGGTAGCTGCGGAACGCTGAGTATACGTTTCTTCCGCAGTCACACTGCACAGTGGCAACAAATGGCGTTGCCTTACCTTGACAATGTGTTCAAGTTTCGCCTTCACGAGGCCGATGTCGACTTACGACATGGTGTAGTCCAGATAAAGTCGGACAGTAACGAGATAGCCGAGAACATAGCTCTTGCGTTCAGCGTTGCTCTGTTACACGTTCTTTGTCAACCTCGAGTGCTAACTACAGTTACTGCAAACGGCACTAGTCCTGGTACACCAATGCGTGGACCCAGGCCAATCAATCGCGTGCCGGCCGATGACCTTGGCCTTGTTGTTGCCGCTGGTTTCTCGGTGGATACTCCTACAAATACTTATATTCGACGTTTGCACCGAACGAATGCATGTGCAGGCTGTTCGACGAGAGAGGCGGACTACGGTGGCCTCGGTCACATGTACGCAGACCTGGAAGCGGTAGAACTGGCAATGGACGAGATCGGGGTGGAGGCCGACATTAACCAGATACAGTCGGATACAGCCGCTACCGCTGCAGACGCCGATATCGCAGCAAACTCGGGAGCCGACGGCGGTGAAGCGGGTGTCGACGGAGGAGAGGCGGGAGGCTGTGGTGGCTGTGGGGGTTGTGGCGGATGTGGTGGCTGTGGAGGGTGTGGTGGAGGGTGTGGAAGTTGTGGAGGATGTGGTGGGTGCGGAGGATGAGATACTACGTCACAACAAAGAAAGGTGACGTCAGCTTGTATCACATATCCACTCTGGAGAAGACACTCCGGGGAGAAGGACCAGACTACGCTAAACTGTGTATCTAGTAAAATATTGGTCATCGAGTGTCCAGCACAGATATTGTCTGCAACACACATACTATTAGCACTTGAAATAGCCAGTGGGCAGTGGGACTGGGCCGAACACATATACGGTAGACTCTATGCATTTCACTGCTGTTCTCACGTACCAATACCGCATAAAACGCCGAGAGTTGTGTAGTTATATTAGTGACAGTGGACCAATGGGTGATCTGTATTCTATGACGTTTCTTGGTGTGACGTAGTCACCCGATCACGTGATATGTATACTGTGGTCGAGTCCTTCCATAGGCTGCTTGTCTGTTTGTAAATAAAGTGAATGTGAATGTAGTGAGTAAGTATCAAATATCTAATTGTAAATTCAAAATATTCTAATCTTAAGTGCTATGTTACATCCCATTTCCATGTTTTGTCATTTAATGTTGCCTTTAAATTAGTATCATGGTGAGTCATGCCGGATTCTAGTTCGTGAGTTTTAGTACTATCGTGCCGGATTCTAGTTCCGTGAGATTTAGTATCATGCCGAATTCTAGTGTTACGTTTAGTTAAGTGAGGTAAAGGTATATTACTTGACACTTGTATAAATTATTCAAATTTAACTAACTGCCTTCACATCAGTAACACGCGTTTGTATGTTTACACGTATTTGTACATTAACGTGTTTTATGTTTACATGTATATGTGTGTTCACAAGTGTATGAATAAACGTTCACACACGTGCTTGTTTACACGTGTTTGTACGTTAACACGTGTTTGTATGTTGTTACATGTTTGTCGTTTACGCGTGTTTTTATGTTTACACGTGTTTTTACATTGACACGTGGTCGTATGTTTATACATGTTGTATGTTCACACGTGTTTGTATGTTTACACGTGTTTTCACATTGACACGAGGTTGTATGTCTATACATGTTGTACGTTTACACGTGTTTGTATGTTTACAAGTGTTTTTACATTGACACGTGGTTGTATGTCTATACATGTGTATATGTTTACACATATTAGTACGTGTTTTTATGTTCACACGTGATTGTATTTTCACATGTATTTGCATGTTCTCCACGTCATGTTTGTGTTTGAACTTGTGTAATTGTACACGAGTTTGTTCAATAATGTGTTTGTTTGTTCACAGGGGTTTTGTTTTTGTTTACACGTGTATGTATATTTTCACCTGTTTGTGTGTTTACATGTTTTTACGTGTTTACACGTGTCAGTATGTTTATACGTGTTTGTACAATATGTATGTTAACATGTGTTTCAAAAGTTACACGTATTTGTTTGTTTGCGTTTGTCTATGTGTTTATACATGTAGGTGTTTGCATGTTTACACGTATATGTTTATTTACACCTGTTTGTTCACACTTATTTTTTGTTAACACCTGTTTGTGTTAACACATGTCTCACTGTATCTGTGTGTACACGTATTCCACTATGTCTGTGTTAACACGCGTCTCACTGTGTCTTTGTAATATCCAATATAAATAAACATGTGTTTACACATGTCTCACTGTGTCTGTGTTTACACGTGTCTCACTGTGTCTGTGTTTACTCGTGTCTCACTGTGTCTGTGTTTACTCGTGTCTCACTGTGTCTTTGTTTACACGTGCATCACTGTGTCTCTGTTTACACATGTCTCACTGTGTCTGTGTTTACTCGTGTCTCACTGTGTCTGTGTTTACACGTGTCTCACTGTGGCTGTGTTTACACGTGTCCCACTGTGTCTCTGTTTACACGTGTCTCACTGTGTCCCTGTTTTTGTCTCACTGTGTCTGTGTTTACACGTGTCTCACGGTGGCTGTGTTTATACGTATTGGAATTTTTACACGTATTGGTATGTGTACACGTTTTTGTGTTTACACGTATCCCCCTGTTTCTCTGTTTACACGTGTCTATGTTTTCAGGCGTCAGACCGTCAACGATAATGACATGTAACTCTCCACTACTTGGTCTCGGGTTCGAGGCCTATGTGATGCAGTCGCTAGGTCTTTTTCTCCTAGTACTCCGGTCCCCCC